TTAGATCCTTGTACACCGTGAGAAGATTTGGCCCGGGTTTTAGAAGTGTCGCTTAAAACAGACAATTGATCAATTGATTTTAGGTTGGGGTTCTGTTGGTCGGAAGGCAGCTTGAGCACTTTTTAAGACTCCTCATTTGTACTAGTTGAATTTATTAGGCGGATGAGCTGTCTAAAAACTCCAGAATGTCTTAGATGTTAAGGCAGTTCAAGCCCTTAAAAAAACGACGCGCTGCATGTTCAAATTTGATACATGCTTTAAAGCGGAGGGCAAGGTGGATGAGGCCCTGGAAACCAGCCACACGCCTCACCGAAGAGAAGCAGTCACAGCCATCGCATTAGGGGTGAGCTCTGCCTCTCTGGGTTTCCAAGGCGGTACATCTTTACCAGAACTGACGGCCTCGTCTTTTCCCGGCAGAGCAGCTGATGAGTTTGAGCTGCTGACCCTGTGATGAGCAGCCCGACCCACTACCCCCCTGCACCATCAAGGGCACCCTGAAAAATACCAACAAAACTCAGTCTGAACTGATCTCCCTCTTCCCCAGACGTTAGCAGAATTGGTGCTAACCAAACCAGAGAAGCCCGTTGTTGGTACCAGCTCAGGCTACCCATGTTTATCAAGAGTCGAACCATCTGTGCCCCATCAGGGTTTTCAGGGGCTGATTTTTTTGGAGGTCGATCACCAGGCCTTTCTTCTACAGCATCTCAGGGGTAGATTTGAACCTCCAACCTATGTATTAGCAGCTGTGTTCACTGTTTGCACCACCACTAGTGGGTGTGGGTTTATGAGGAAGGAGAGAGCTCTCTGCTCATGATACCAAGGTACTTTCTATGAAGGGGAGGGGGCAGCCTTGTGAAGCAGAGAACCCTCCACACACAACTGAGGGTTTTCTGGAAATAATTCACATTATGTGGGGAGAGGCGAGGCAACAATGGTGGCTCTTGCCTGGTCCATCTGTAAAGTTCAAAGGCTGGGTGCCCCGTTAGCAATCACGGTTTCCGGGAGGAGAGAGAGCACCCATTGTTGTTGCCTCTTCCTAACCTAAAGAAGCCCTTGTGGCGTAGTGGCTGCTCATGGGGCTGCTCATCCCAAGGTCAGCAGTTTGAAACCACCAGCTGCTCCTTGGGAGCAAGATGAGGCTTTGTACTCCAGCGAAGAGAGACAGTCTCGGAAACGCACAGGGGCAGTTCTAGTCTCTCCTAGAGGGCTGCAAGGCATTGGCGTCACCTCGATGGCAGTGAGCCTGTTGTTTTCCTCCTAAAGAGACATGTGCAGGGTCCGAAACAAGTTTACACCTTGGCGGGCCCAACCTGGCCCCTCTCACCCTTTGTTTTAGGTCATGGAAGAGGTTGCTTCCCAGGAGAAGAACATCATAGCTCTTGAGAAAGCCATCCTTGATCAAGAAGGGCCCGCCAAGGTGGCTCACACACGCCTGAAGGCCAGGACGTGCCGGCCGAATGTGGAGTTGTGTCGGGACACTGCTCAGTACAGGCTCATCAGGGAGGTTCACGAGATCAGCCGTAATGTTTCAAGGTAGGCACAGGAGTCTCCCAGGCAGAGGATGACAGAAGTGTAATTGCCTCCGTTCTGGGGGCTAGAAGGCCAAATCGGTGTGTTGTCTGAGCCATGCTCTCTCTGAATTCTCCAGACTTCCTTGTCAATCCCCCAGCGTCAGTTAGCCCCCGGCATGCCTTGACTTGTGGCAGGGCGGCCCTACCCCTGCTTGCTTGTGTCTCCTCCTCATTTATAAGCTCACCACTCAGACTGCCTTAAGAAGCCATGGTGGTATAGTGGTTACTCACTGGGCTGCTAACCCCAAGGTCAGCAGTTCAAAATTACCAGCTGCTCCTTGGGAGAAAGAGGAGTCTCTCTCTTCTCATGAAGGTTTACAGTCTCAGAAACACACAGGGGCCATCCTATCCAGCCCTATAGGGTGCCTATGCATCAGTATTGGCAGTATGGCAGTGAATTTGGTTACTCAGTCTGGCTCAGGACCCATCCTCCTCCAATGTGATCTCACAGTAACTAACCCCTCCCGCTAGGTCAATTCCAACTCACAGCAGCCCTGCTTAAAGGTTTCTGAGCCTGTCAATCTTTATAAGAGCAGGAAGCTTCCTTCCTGAGAGGTGGTTGGTGGGTTAGAACTGCTAACCTTGTGGTGATCAGCCCAAGACATACTCCACTATACAAAGACTCTATTTCCAAATGGGGTGCGTGTTCTCACAGGGCCTGAGGGTTAGGCCTCCAGGGTCTCTTTTTTTTTAAGTCTCAATTCAGCCCCTTATGCGCAGGCTAGCCACTCAAGTCCCACTGGGTTTGAGCACAACACAGCGCGCACAGCGGCCGTCCCTCCCGGGACGGAGTGAAGCCGGCCGACCTCTTCATGTCTGCCCCAGTGCTTTCTACGCAGTCAGCCACCGCTGCTCCGCCCGTTGGTACCAGGCAGGACTTTGGTCCCGGGATCGTCTTTTCCTAAAGAAGCCCCAGACCCAGCTGTGTAGGCAAAAACCTGCCGTTTTCCGACGTCGGCCATTCCCGGGATGGCTTGTTGTCACGAATCTGGCCTGTGGGTACCTATGCGAGAGGTCAGGCTTAAGAAGATGGGGGGCGGGGGAGGACAGGTCGCTCTGAGTCCTGCAGTGAACACACAGATACATTTTTGCCTCCTGAAAAAGAGACTTGCCAGGCGCTACAGCGTTCCCCTTGCCCTTCTCCTAGACTGAAGGACACCTTAGCCCAAGCTCAGGTGTTGCTGAAAGGCCTGAACCGCAGGCAGCTGGCCCTGCAGGAGGAGATCGCTGTCAAGGAGAACACCATCTACATCGAAGAGGTGCTGTGCATGCAGATGAGGAAGTCCATCCCGCTGAGGGACGGGGAAGACAGAGGGAGCTGGTCCGGGGCCCCCCGCCGGGAGGCAGTCTGCTCGTAGGAGGCAGAGCTCAGATTCTCATTAAATCCCAGGAAATCGGCCTTGCTGACTCTCGACTCTCGTTGCAGCCAACAGCCCGGTCGGTCGGTCGGTCAGCCCATCACAACATCTGCGCTGTCACCCCCAGCTTGCCCAATCCCAGGCTCTGCCACTCTGCTTATTCCCCTGTTAAATTCTCTGTGTTAGCACAGCTCAGGACTTGGGGCTTTTGGGGAGGAGGTCAAGACTGTCGTCCAGATTTGTTTCGATCCCAGATAGGGACCATCTTCTTCATGAGAAGGAAGATTACCCCCCCACACACACACTCCATCCCCGGAGTTGAAGCATTCAGGACATGCCCAGCACGGATGGCAGGGGAGCGACCCTGGATCCTGAGGCCTGCAGGCCTCCCTCTGACTTTACTTTCTCTGATGTGAAATGCAGAGGGCAGGGCAGGCCAGGCCAGGGTGTGGCCCAGCTCTGAACCGTTCATTATAGTGGGAGGGGGTGAAGCATGGGGCCTCTGGTTCTCAGGATCCCCGGGGAGGGTGGTCCTGGCAGAGAGCCTTCAGGACCCACAAGGCACGGCTAGGGCGGGTTGGGAGGGGGAGCCACTTATGTGCAGCCTGTAGTCATATCATAGTGACTAGCTTGCAAAGGATCCCTGGTGATGGAGTGGTGATGCGTTGGGCTGCTAACCACAAGGTGAGCAGTTCGAAACCACTAGCTTCTCAGCGGGAGACAGACAGGGCTTTCTACTCCCATTAAAGAGTTACCTCCTCGGAAACTCACAGGGGAGGTTCTGCCCTGCCCGATGGGGCTCCCGTGAGTGGGCATCGTGCCAGCTAGCGTTGCAGCTGGGAAAGCGCAGGAGGTTTGGGGTTCGGGACCAGCCGGCAGCAGAGCACATCCCGCAGCGCCACCATGCGGTGAGGAATTTGGGGTTCAGTTTTCGTTCCTGTACGTAAGCTGACTCAATGAGTCATGGCCTGCGAGCCCCGGGCTGTCTTCTCCGTCCGCTGGAGAAAGCCGGTGCTTTCTACTCCCGTAACCAACTGCAGTCTCGGAAACTCACAGGCGCAGTTCTTCCCTGGCCTATTGGGTCGCCACAGGCGGTGAGTATTTTGCTGTTTTTTGAGTTTGGACAGATGAGAAGCCAAACTGAATAAAAGGCAAGCAACCAAAAAGGGCAAGGGCAAGCTGCTCCCGTAGTTGCCACAGTTTCAACTGAGCCGTCTGAGTAGGGGCTCTGCAGTCAGGCTGGCCTGAGTTCACGTTCTCCGCCTCTCTCCACGGGGCAGGGGCCAGGGTGAGGTTCGAACCTGCGTTGAGGGCTTGCCTGTGCGTTACAACCCCCTGGTGGTGTGAGGTGGAGCTGACTCTGTGAAAGGGTTGAAGGTTTTGCTGTCCCCGCCCATGCCCAGCCCTGATTTGGTCACCGTTCCCTTTCTGGTGGCTCACAGTGACCCTATGGCTCACAACGATGGCTTAGGGCCAGCTCCACTTTTTTGTTTGTTTGTTTTCTCAGATGATCCACCACTGGATCATAATGACGACCGGTCGCATTGGGCTGTGACCTACAGCTAAGCGATTTCCCAGACATTTTCTCATCAGATTCTCATGCCAACAACAAAACCTGAGGCCACAGTACTATCCCTGCTCCATCTCATAGGTCAGATGCTAACCTTGAGGTCAAGGAGACTGAGGCTCAAATCCTGGTTCTATCAGTTGCTAGCTGTGTGACCTTTGCCATGTTACATAGCCTCTCTGTGCTTCAGAGTCTGGATTGCTCATTCTCCCTCGTTACCCATGCTGCCCTATCCTGGTGTTGAGTTTTTCCTCCAGACCAATACCCATATGTCCTAGGGGCTTATCCCCAAGGCAGGGACTCGAACCTTCAACCTTCCAGTTAGCTGCTGGGTGTGTTAACCCTTTGTACCTCCCAGCCCTCAACTCCCGTCAATTTACATACACCTTCTTAAAAGCAGCCCAAGGAGGCCTGGTGGGACAGGGGTTCAAGTATCCAGCTGCTAACCCCAGGGTGGAAGGTTCGAACTCACCAGCTGCTCCTCAGGAGACGCCGTGGCTTGTGCAGAGACGTCCAGTCTTGGGAAACCTAGGGCAGCAGTTCCGCTCCATCCGTAGAGTTGCTCTGAGCCAGAACGGACTCGAAGGCAATGGGTTTAGGTTTGGGTCGACAGGCGTCAGTTCACCTGCTCAGAAGATGCTCTGCGTGGCTTTGGGTCGATAACTCTGTGGCTCAGCACAGGTGACAAAGAGCAAAACCAAGGGACAGAACGACCCCCCCTCCCAGAGAGCTGCTAAAGACTGCGCTTTAAAATCACCCGGGGGCCTTCACAACCCCAGCCTTGGCCAGGCGATTCTGGTGGACTGGCCAAGGGGGTGGGGAGGGTGGAGATGCCCAGGTGTAGTCCTAATTGAACCGGATGTAGAAGTCCAGCTTCCTTCCTTGGTAGCGCACCCCTTACATCATGGGGTATGCGATGACAAAATAGTTCAGTTCCGAGTCAATCAGCTTACGGTACCTCCGGTAAATTTCCCGCAGTGTCCTGTCTTCCTCGTTCGTCTCATATCTGTTTGTGTAAATTCTCACCTGTGCCAGGAGAGAAACACACACACACACACACACACACACACACACACACACACACACACACAGTGATGACATCATTCAGGCTTTGGAAACTAAATGACCCGTAGTTACCATGACTGGTATCTTTGGGGATAAGCCCCTAGGATATATGGGTATTGGTCTAGAGGAATTAGAGAAGTCCCAGCCACACTCGTAAGGAAGAATTCTCAAAGTTCCGGTCTATGGGATCACGAGTTGACATTGGGTACCCCAAAGCGGCCTTAAGGCATCTCTCCCCCAGGCAGTCCTGCTGCAGGACCACCAAGCGTAGACGCCCACTGCCTCAGGGCCTGGCCACAGGCCTCCGGTGCCCCTTGCTCTGTGCCCTCAGGGTGCCTTACCTTGAGCGTGCGCAGGGTGCACTGCCCCTCCTCCTGACTCTTCAGGATCCGCTCCACAAACCGAACATCGAGGAAAGCCCAGATTTTGAAGTAGAACAGCTTCCTGCAGGACAAGATGAGGAGGTGCAGCTCCTCGTCCAGGGACTCGTGGTTGTTGTTGAACTCAAACGTTAATTTCTGGAAACCATCAAAGGGGAGGTGTCTGTGGAAAGGGATGCTGGGACTGCCCGGGTCACCCATGCTGTGCCATGCCCGGTTGACCACCAGTGGCCATGGTGGTCCAGGGGCTTTAGAAGGGACAGGGGCCATCATTGCCCATTTTACCCAGAAAGAGATTTGAGAATGGATGTTGGTACAACTTGGGGTTTGGACACAGTGTGACTGGGGCCCGAGACCAGGGTACCAGTCCCAGCCCTGCCTGCAAGGGTAATGCTGTCTTCCTTGCCCCCTACCTAAGGGCTATGGGAGTCTCCACTGAGCTGCTGGCACTTTGTAGCCCATTACTGTTAGGAATGGCATAGACATCTCTTGATCTCACGTCTCACCTTTCTGTGGAATCCTTACAAAACCAGTTCCACTGAGCTTCCAGGCTCTTCTTCTGCGGCACCCCCACAGGTGGGTTCAAACTGCCAACCTTTTGGTGGTTTTGTCTCAGAAACTCAAAATAGGATCCCCCGTGAGTTGGAACAGACTCGATGACAGGGCGTTGGTTTGGTTGGTCTTGAGGGAGGGGTGGGGGAAGGGTTCAGTTGATAACAGTTGCCAGAACCTACATTTGAGTACTGATTGACTATGCCAAGGCATTTGACTGTGTGGATCATAAGCAACCATGGATAGCTGTGAGAAGAATGGGAATTCCAGAACACTTCATTGTGCTTGTGTAGAACTTGTACCTGGATCAAGAGACAGTTGTGTGAATAGAACAAGGGATTTCTGCACGGTTTAGAATCATAAAAGGTGTCCATCAGGGTTGTATCCTCTAACCATGATTATTCAATCTTTATGCTGAGCAGATCATCAGAGAAGCTAGATTATGTGAAGAATTTGGCACCGGGATTGGCAGAAGGCTTATTAACCTATGCTATGCAATGACATAACTGCTTGCTGAATGTGAGAAAGACGAGGCATTTGCTGATGAAGATGGAGGATTACAGGCTTCAGTGTGGATGACACCTCAATGTAAAGAAACCCAAGTCCTCACCACTGGACCTGTATCATGATAAATGGAAAAAAGATTGAAGTTGTTAAGGATTTTGTCTTGCTTGGATCCACAATCCATGTTCAAGGAAACAGCAGACAAGAGATCAAAAGATGCATTGCATGGGGTAAATCTGCTGCCAAGAGCTCTTCAGAGCATTGAAAAAAAAGGATGTTACTCTGGGGACTAGGTGCACCTGACCCAAGCCATGGTATTTTCAACGGCCTCATCGCATGTGCAAGTTGGATACTGAATAAGGAAGACCGAAGAAGCAGAGACACGTTTGAATGATGGTGCTGGCAAAGACTACTGAAAGGGCACGGACTGCTAAAGCGGAGGGACAGCAAAATTGAGAAAGGCCCTTGAGGGGATGGAGTGACACGGTGGGGGCAGCGATGGGTTCAGATGCAAGAACAATGGTAAGGGTGGCACAGTACCAGGCAGTGTTGAGTACCCAGTTGCTGGGTGGCATTACTGGTTACCACACTCTACCGCTAACCAACCTCTTGGAGGTTCAAGTCCACTGGAAGGTGCCTGGAAATAAAGGCCTGGGGATCAACTTCTGAAGACTCAACCATTGGAAACAGCGTGGAGCACAGTCCTGCTCTGACACACACAGGGTCACCACACGCTGGACTTAACAGTAGCACGTTCTAAACCTGAATGCCAAAGGGAACGAGCGTATGTGGACGAGCCACAGTGGGCTGTGTTCTGGATAATGGAGGCATCTAAGGGGCACCTTCCCTCGCCCTCCGTCTGCTCCTACCTGTAGAGTGTGTCGGAACACGGGCAGCAGGTCCCTCAGGGTGGGTCTCATGGACCAGTCCGGGTCACTGAAGTAGCAGCTTCTCAGACTGATGCTCCGCAGTGGGATCTCCTGCAAGAGGATCCGTACCAAACGCTCGTACTTCATGACCCGCTCGAAGAAGAAGTTGACCTTCAAGTTGGTAGCCTGCTTGGTCAGCTTGGCCCAGGACATGCCCCAGATGACCTGTCCGTGGGGGTCGTGAATGTGGCACTTGATGTTTATGGTCCAGAGGGTACTGGCATTGTTCTCACACAAGTTCTCCAGCAGCTCGTCCGAGAGACAATTGTAGTTGAGGGTCAGGGACTCCAGGTTGCGGAACATGGCCATGGTCTTGCGGAATTGGGGGCTGCTGTAGACAGCAAGGTGGTGGCTGAAAAAGTCCTCGATGTTGAGCTCTGAGGCCAAACTCTCATTCCTTAAGTAGCCCAGAGAGTTGAGGACGTGGCAGCCCTGCTCCACCGTCATGCGGGCCCCTTTCAGGTTGAGGTAATCCAGGTGTTTGCCCATCTTCCTTAAGAAGAAGCTCAGGCTCTTAATGAACGAACTCCTGATGTTGCTCCTCCAAACTGCGCGGTCCAGTTCCAGATACTGGACGGAAAGTGACCTCAGGCGGTTGTTGCTCTTGCCCAAACAGGAGAGGAGGCCTCGCATGGTGACCTGGAACTTCTTGGTCAAGACAGCATTGTAAGGGTTCAGGAATTTGATCTCCAGGTGCTCCAGATAAAGACCAAATTTCTTCACATACCAAAGAGCGGACTCAAATTCAGATGCGTGCACCCTGGAAGGCCTCCCGCTGAACGTGATGGTCCTGTATCGCCAGAGGTCTGCGGAGTACATCATCTGGTTCCACTTTCTGCACACCAGGGCCGCCCTGGACCGGTCCCTGTCCCCCAGCCACCAGAAGACACGATTCAGGCAAACATCGGGCAGGGTGGCCCAGCAGCTCTGTTCTTGGGGCTGGATCAGTTCGCTTTCTTCATCCATCAAGGAACCAGATGTGCAGGGCAGCTGTGTTGGAGGCAGAGCTCCCAAAAATGAGGAGAGGAAAGCAGCCACTTGTTTTCTGCGGGGAGTGAAAAGGAAGAGCCATTACCGTCAAACAGAACGTAAGTAACAATCGAGCCGATGTTCCCAGTGATCCTCTGTGTCGTAGGCACTGTGCCCACCCGGGGCTGGCTCCAGGCCACACTCACAATACAGTCCAGCCCTTGAAGGATTCCAGAGTGGATCGGGGAGGAAAGGACCAGCGCCCGATTGCCAAATGGCGAGAGACAAATGGAGCAGTACAAACCAAGCCGTCATGGTTCCTGGGTGGCTCCAATGGAGCGCAAGGAGTTCTGGGTAAGGAGGAAGGCTACTGCTTGCTCTTGTTTCTTGGTCTATGGTGACTTGTGTGTGGCTGTGATACTGGAAGCTATGCTCCCAGCATTTCAAATGCCAACATGGTCACCCAAGGCAAGGGGGTTTCAGTGGAGCTTCCAGGCTAAAGCCGACTAAGGAAGAAAGGACTGGTGATTTGCCTCCAAAAATTAGCCAAGAGGAACCATACAAATCGCAACACAACGATGCCTGCTGCGCTGGCTTCGGACATGCCCTCAGGAGGGATCAACGGCTATGGAAAGACAATGCGTTTGGTGAAGTAGAAGGCGGACGAGGGGGTGGGAGCCCCTCAGTGAGATGGGTGGACACCATAGCCACAGTGTTGGACTCGATCATGCTGCTGAGCGTGGGAATGGGTTCATCCTGGGCAATGTTCTGTCCTGTCACACGTAGGTCCCATGAGTCACAATGAACACAATCTGTCTGTCTCCCTAATTACCTATCCATCCACCCACCTGAGCAGGAACTAGAGGGAGCGGCTCATAGGAGATGATATTTGAGCTGGATTTTGATGGGTGAGAGGATGTACAAAGCAGTCTGTTGGCCTAGTGGTGCTGCTCGGGGAACTGATCATTCTAGGGAGTCACAGAACTGTGAGCCTATGTGTTCATTTCACGGGATCTGAAAATGGTTCATCGGGAGCTTAACTTACAAGTGGGAGGGGCAGGGAGCCGGTGGGACTGGAGTGGGAGACATGGGCAGGTACTAGTCAAGAGGACCCTGAATCCTATGAGGACTCTGTGCTAGAGGTCAGTGGTTCCAACTGCCACCTTACCCGAGGACTTGGAACTTGGACACAGCCTGCCCGCTTCCCTGGATGAGAGTCACTGTATGTGTTGAGGCTCGTTGTGGATGGCTGTGTTTCTATCCAAAAGCCATCACGGCAGGACAAGCAGAAGGAACTTCAGGGCCATCTGTCTGGAGTCAATGTGGTCCGTCTCGGGGACATTCTGGAGGAGCGGGAGATGAAGGGTCAAGAGCAGAGTCCAGGTTCCCAGGGCTGGGCCCAGGGTCACACTGTAGCCGGGCTGAGGAGGAGACGGGGTGGGATTGTGAGCTCTCCAGAGGATGCAGCTGTGTACCTGGTTGGATGTAGAAGTGGGGAGGACTGAAAGGGTTCCCACTCAAGCTTGGACTCTAGGAGATGCCCCCAGCCAAGCGGGGAGTCCTGGGGAGACCCAGGCTAAGAAGGCCTGCCTGATACAGTGTGCCATCAGGCCAACTTTTCAGAGGCATCTCGACACACTCTGGCCTTTTGCTTTCAGTGGCTCCCTTGCATCCAAACTCCTCTCCTTTCTCTGACTCTCCAAAGTGTCCATTCTTCAAGGTCCAAGCCCTACCTTTCCATGCAAAGTTCTTTTGGGTCACTTTACTGAGTGGCCCAGGTTCCCGGTGGAGATGGGAAGAGCCCTGAGAAGCCATTCTTTCACAAATGGAAATGGC